CCGGATTCCCGCACGGGAACCCAATGCTCTGCCAACGCACGCCTTGACGCCCAGGAGACACACCGGCTTCTCCGCTTCCTCGGTTTCGTCCTCCCTCTTTTCTTTAGCTTGCCGAAACAGCTTCGCGTGGCCCCGGTGAGACAGGCAGGCGCGCAGGGAACCCCTTCAAGGGGCTCAGCCGCCCTCGGGCTAGGCCCGGGCTCGCCCGCTCGAACCCGCTCCCGGCCGCCGCGGACCTGGACCTTCCTACGCAGCACGCTGCAGCTGGAGGGGCAGAGCCAGGCAGCCGCACAGCGGCACCCTGTTTTTATAGCGCTTTCTCACCCTCCCCTCCACCACCAGTTTTGCCCAACTCTCCTTCCCCTGCAAAGCACACAGGGCCCTTCCAACGCGCTCAGCTCAGCCTCCCGCAGGCTGGGTCCAGTTTGCATTTGGACACGAGCAGAGCAGAGCTGGGCTTCCCCTAGAGCGCGCAGCAGCGGTTTGCCTGCTGCGGGACACACGCAGAAAGCCCAGCACGGGGACTGCAGGCCCGGGAGGGCCAACGCTCCAGTCAACGCGACTGAACTCAGAGATGCTCAGCCGCTGTTTCCATCCAGGCGTCCCGCAGCACGGGAACCAGTGAAGACGCACCGTTTGCGAACGCCAAGGGGTCACGTCCACAAAGACAACCCACAGATCAAACCTGGTTCTGTGCATCAAATCCAGACAGCAGAGAAGGAGCAGGCACGGGAGCCAGGCAGAAGAGATGGACGGGGAAAACACAGCATCTCTGCTGGCAGCACCCTCTCAAACGAGGCCATGCAGCTCCAGGCAGGCTGGCAAGCAGCCGTGGCCGGTCCAAAGTGACGTGGTCCCTCCTTGCTCCTTGCAAGGGACAGACTTCCCCAGGCCACTCGAGGTGCTACACAGCAGGTCTGCGCCTTGTTCCTGGGGCTGCTCCCGGTTCTGCTGTACCTGGCACGGTCCTTAGTCCACAAGCACAGAGGAAAACTGCTCTGAAGGACAACGACATGGATGAGAACAAGGTGTCCCAGAAGAGTCCTCGGGAGTGAACCCCCACCAGAGGCAGGTAGTCCCACAGGACCGGACCAAAGCACAGGGCTACGCTGAGCACTGAGCTAGACACCAGAAGCAAGGTCAGCCAGCAACTGGCCAGTGCACAACCCTCGAGCTTCAAGGCCCTCAGTACCCGGGACGTGATCCAGATTTCACCACCACTCAGTACAGAGCACCCCAAGGGGAACGCAGCAGAAACAGCGGCTGCCGTCGCCTAGGTCTTGGGGAGACACGGCAGATGATCTGCTCAGGCTCCAGCCAGCCAACACATCCCAAAAGATGGCAACAAAATCAACAGCATCTCTCCACCAGCTCCCTCCCTCCCTCTCCTACCCCAACCGGCTGGCGTCAGCACAGGGCCGCAGCTGCTCCCGGGGCTGCGTGGCCAGCATGCAGCCTCCCTGAGCAGTCCCCGGACCATTTCCGCTGGGTTTCGGAGTACTGACAGATGGCCACGAATCTCAGCTGGGCCCCTCAGCAGCCTCACGGGATGCAGCAACGCTCAGGGCAGCTTCACCTCCCAGCTCGCACCCGGCCGAAACGTGGGAAGGGCGGATGCCAGCTCTCGGCCTCCCGTCACGCACCGCCCAGCGGTCCTCTCCCAGCTTTGAGCTCACCTCAGGGCAACAAATTTGTCAGGGAACCCCTTCCCCAGGTTCAGATACTGCCTGAGACAAGAGACTCCTTCGAATGCACCGCAGAGGCTCAGCATCCCAAAGCCAACGCACGCGGTCTGCCCCGCTTCGGCCCCCTGCACCCCACTGACCCGAGCCGGCCACTTATCTTCACAACGGATCAAAACTATCCCGTAAAAGCAGGTGGAGAAATCTCTGCACTTCAGAGATGGGACCTGGCTAGCACCCTGGGAAAGGACTTCACAGGATGCTTCAGGATTGCTTCTGTCCCACTAGGTCAAAAATATATTTGTCTGTCTTATTACAAACTGAAAGGTACCCCTCCTCCCTCAAGTTTTACTGAAAACTGTATTTTAAAATTTCTGCATACCAAAACACCCCTCCGCACACACTTCTGATAAACAAAACATCAATGACGGCAAAAATGCCTTTCATCACATATCAGTATAAAAACACTGGCAGAATCTCACAAAAATGGGATATTTTCCCGTGCTGACAATTTCCCTGTAGAAGTTCTGCTCAACAAATCAAAGCTCTTTGCCCGCTCCTCCTCCAAACCCTCCTCACTGCAAGGCTTCACACAGCCCTCAGCTAAATCTGAACGTAGGCACCAAAATCAGCAGGCTGGTTCCCAGACTACCAGACCCCTCTGCTCACGCAAGGGTGAACGGGAGGAGCAGGACCAGCTCCCCCAGCCACAACATTTGAAAGCGTTCGTCGAGGCTTCGACGTTCCCAAAGGGAAAAAAAATTGAATCAGTAGCAAACACTGCTGAGAATAATAAATAGCACAGGGAGATCACAGGGATTTTTGGTCTAAAAGGCCTGGGGTGTCCCTTCACTCTTGGGGACCGGCTCCCAGATGCCCGGGGTGCACATCCCACCCTGGAAAAGCACAAGCAGCAGCTGAAGCTTTGCAGGAAACGGTGCGTGCTCTGAGGAGCGATGCCCCGCGGAAGGCGCTGCCCTGCCGCCTGGGAAGCTCGAGCTGGTCCCCGCCACCGCAGGGGCTCAGGGTACTGACGTACAAGGCAGCAGCAACGCAGGAATCCTCATCAGAGGGCTACGGCCTGGAGAAGCACCGCAGTGCATGTTAACCGGGGAGGATCCCTGCTCAGCCGAGCTCACGCTGCTCCAGGGCAGCTCTGCTCCCGCAGCGGCCAGAGGCCTGGTGTGTGCACACTGGGGATAAACGCTCCTCCACAAAGCGGGGAAAAGCAGGCTCAGCATCCTGGGGGAGCAAAGCAGCTCGGCATTGCGCTGTCCGATGGCCAAGCTCAGGGAAGCACCGCTAATACCGCAAGTGGGGCTTTGCACAGAAGTGCTGAACAAGGCAGCCCTTCCCCGGCCCTCCTGGCAGCAGAAGGCGCAGTGGGCAGCTCGCTAACAGAAGGCAGGCGGCACGGGGACCTCCGAGCTGGGGATTTACGGGGAGGAATTACCTAAATCCCCAAAACAGCAGAAGCTCCCTGTCACCACAGCGCTGGCTCCCAAGGGCAGAGACCCAAGCTCGAGGAGCTGCCGGGCAGCTCACGGTTCCTGCAACAGCAGCGTCCTGCTGGCGGTATTCAGCAGCAGGCCCCCAAGCACCCCCCCGCAGCAGGGCCTCCAAATAGCAACGGAAAAAACAAGCAGGGTCTCATTTCCAAGAAGAAACCGAGCTGGGCTAAAGCACAAGCCTTGCCAGAAGGTATTCGGCGCTTCCCACCCTACTCCTTCCCTTCCTTGCCCCTAGTGCTACCCCTCTGCCATGCAGAGGGCCGCCAGGTGCCGGGACTGCCCGACGGAGGGGGAGGCAGGAGCCTGCCGGGAGAAAGCAGCTAAAGCCGTAACCATCTGTCTCACATCCTCGCGGAGCTATGGGGTGCCTGGAACCGCTTCTGCGGTGGTAGCAGCAGCAGCACGAACATGTTTTTTGCCTCTGGTGCATCCTGAGGGAGCAGCTAAAGTGCCACCCCTCCTCCCTGGTGGGACAAGGACAGGAAAGAGGAGAAATCTTGCTCCCAGGGCTAAAACAAACAGCAAATTGCACATCGCACCCCACCAAGTCAGTGCCTCCCCACGCTCCAGGACGATGCCAGCGACCCAGGCAGTGAAGAAAGGGCGAGGAAGGGGAAGGAAGGCAAAAAAAAAAAAAAATCTGTTATCTGCCAAACACCTGCAAGAGCACGAGGTAGCGCCCAGGGAGCACACTCCCCTCCGACTCCCCACACAAACCCCGCCGCATGCCGAGGCCTGCACAGAGCAGCATCTACTCACGTCTGGGCCTCTGACCCACGAAGAGGAAACCCCTCACGGTGTTTTCATACGCCCCCAACCCTCGCAGAGCTTGGGGAGGTACAGCAATGCACACGGTGCCCATCCTTGCGAGCCCAGGCCTTGGTACAGGTGCCGGTGCCCATGAGCACTGTGGGCAAGCACATAGGCAAACTTCTAGCTGTGCTGCTCTGTGGGCGGCTAGGAATGAGGCTCCCCACACGAACAGGCATTTGTGTGGAAAGTGAGCAAGCACCCAACTTCTTGCAACCAACTTACGTCTGCCGTGGAAGCGCCTGAATCCTGGAGTACCTCCAAGCTTTTCTGGATACCACGCAAACACAATCAGTAACGGCCTGCTCTCCCTTGGCTGGGTAAACAGGCATTGCTCGCAATTTCTCCTTCAGCCGAGAACAATTTTTGCTTCTGTAAAAGAAGGGCTGGCAGGGGTGGGGATGGGGGGGGATTGAGGAACTGCAAAGGTTTAGTGCACCTTAAAACTAAAGGACATCTAACCTGCCCTTAGATTTCACCCCAAGACTGAAAAGAACTATGGCATCTCCTACATTCACAACTACTCCAAACACACTGAGACGCATGCAAAATGTCCCGCTTCGAGTCGGCTGCGGAAAACTCCTCTCGGGCAGTGGCGGCCGCTGGGCTCCAGCTCAGCGCCTCGGATGGCACCAGCTCCCCCGCCGCCCCGGGCTTTTCCGCCTCCCGGCAAACATCCGCCGAGTCCCAACGAGCATGGCGATGGGTTGATTATCAATCCAAAATGCATAGGTATAGACACTGTGGTGACACCCGCTCCCTGTCAGGGCAGACGGGAAGGTTCGCTGCACAAGCCCTCCACGTCTGGTAGGCATGGTCTCCGCTTCTACGTCTAATTGGGTGGAAAGCAGCATTTGCCACAGGCACGGTTTCATCATATTCTTGCTCCTTGCATTTCCCTGCAAGGAAATATGAGTTGTTCAGGTAAGACAGCCTCTTTTCCAGCCACAATCTCCTAGAAGTACTCTATTCCGCTTTCTGGGCAATCCACCAGCTCAGCAATCCCTCTTCCGTGACCCAGTGCTGGCCAGGCCAGACTCACACTTTCTTTCCAACTAAGGAAAAGCTGTATTTCCAATCACAGCTACAGAGGCAGGTGAACCCAAGAGGTCTGCTTTGGCTCAGAAACCCCATTCATTTGCACCATGCTGACAGCACCAAAGTCCTCACGTGCACATACTGGCGCACACCCTGGTGCTGCTCTACTTCGGAGGTATAACGACTATAGGCTGGCCTCGCTTGGGTCTCCACATGAGGACTTGGGCATCGTTGGCGTTGGGTTTCACTAGTGCATTTGGTGGGATGGGCTCCATCCTGCTCAGGATCCGGGGCTGCTCCTGCTGAGTCCTTCCCACCAGCCGTGCCCGCTGCCCCAGGAGCTGCATGGGATCAACCTCAATGTCCACTCGCATCCTCCACTTTATAGTCTGCAAGATGATCTTTTCCTTGGTGGTGGTGTTCATGGCCACCAGCCACGTGGTAAAGCTCTGGTCCCTTTTAATCCTGGTCAGCAGCGGCACATTACTGTTGCTCACAGGGACAGCCCACGTCACGCTGGGGTAGAAATTGTCATTCATGCTCACCGAGAACCTGGAGATCTTGTTAGTGGGCCCGACCAGAGTCACAGTTTCTGTGGTGTTTCCGTACCAGGGGTAGCTGACTCCATCAGAATCGCTGATGGCTTTTACTCTTCCTTCTCGCAAGTCAGGCAGCTCCCAGCTTGATCTAGCAAACGGAAACAGAAAGGCTAGGTTATCAGGGAAACGGCAGCAACAGCGCTCAGCTAGTGCCTGCAAGGGAAGGACCAAGAGGCAAACAGCTGCGGGTGAGCACTCGCACAGTAAAATGATTGCTTTAGAGCAAGGGAAGAGAGCACAGACAAAAGGATAACAATTCAGTCTTTGAAATCCTG